ACTTTCAGGCACAAAAGTCTTCCTAAAAATCAGCTGCCAGATGTGGGTCATTTCCTCCTCAAAAACATACAGAGAAAAAGAGCACAACAGATAGACTTGCTCCTCAGGAGCCAAGTTCATTCTGTCTCAATATCCTAAATCTTTTTTTTTGTTTGTTTGTTTTTTTTTGTTTTTTTTTGAGAGAGAAGAGAAATAAAAAATTCATAAAGTGCTTCCAAGATTTTTACTCGAGAGAGCTATGAGATTGGGGCCATAGTCCCAGGATAGAAATTTCTCTTCAGACATCCAGTGTCGGAGACCTGATAGATGGTGTTTAATCCCATGGTAACAGTGATCTGGTATCCCCAGAGTGAAAGGAGGGATTTAGGAATAGGTTCAAATACTAAGCTGCTCACTAGAGCATACGAAGTAAATGATTTATTTTGCTGGTAGAGGAGCAGATGGGAACCAGGATGTAACACAGCCAGTGAGGTAGGTCCAGTGTTACAGTAGTAACAGCACTTGTACAGTGCAGATCCAGGCCATGCTTCACATGTTGACAAAATCCTTGCAGTATTTTAGGAACATCCCCTCTGTGTTTTTCCAACTGGGGATTGGAAAGAGATGAGGGAGAGGTAGCCCATGAGYACAAGGAGCAATGCACTCAATGGTAGACCCCTTTCGGGGTTTCACCAAGTCCTTAAGAAACTGTGAAAGCCTCATCTGACTTCAGTTCTGACCTCCAACAAGCTACCCGTGAAGGAGCAAGGGTGGAGTAATTGGGCAAGGAGGAAAAAGGGAGTCCACACAGAGCGTACCTTTCTCAATAACACCCTTTGGTAGCACACGGATATGTTCAGTTAGGCAACAGCAAAGCAGCTGCTCACCTCAACAAAATCACTTATCTYAGAGGGAAATCTCAGTGAAATCCAGTGTTCACCCATAGCCGGAAGTTGGCTCCAGGATCAGAGCACATGTGTGTTCAGCGGGATGTTGGGAGTGAACTGTTGAAAGAAGAATGATAATACAAATTTCACCTAAGTTTAATCTAAAATGCAGGATATTACCACATATTCAAATTGCTGAAAAGCATTAACCAATTTTATGTTTTTATCTTGTCTTTACTTTCTCCTGTATTCACATTTTCATGCATCTCTCTAGCATCAATTATATCCTTTTTGTCTTGATGGGCTTTTTTTGTCTTCCTTGTGCAAAACATTTCATCGATGTAGAAAATGTCATTTACAGAAGGTTCTCTGATACAGACATTACAGCGTTTGCATGCCTTTGGGCAACATGCAATCTGCTGAGAATCACTTCAGCAAAACTTCCAGCTATCTCAAAGTTAGGTGTCCAGTCAAAACAGGTTGTCTAGACTCCCTGGTCAGTCAGTGGAGAGAGGCAGGTGCCTCCAGATGGTTTTCATACTAGACTAGTTGTCTAAAAAAGAGGGAATAAGATGTTATTCAGCATTGCCTGCATCTCAGCCAATGAATAAATGACCCTATACAGCTGCCTTAGAAGAAATACCTAATTCTGGACAAGCATAGCTGAATCCCACTGTGTTTTATTTGTGCTTCTCCTTAGAGGGAAACTACCTCTGGGAGTATCAGGTGGGAAATAGCAGGTATGAACTCCATCAACTCTGAATTAAGTAAAGAATACGGCACAAACGGTGAAAGCAACCATTTTGCATTTTTGCACAGAACTTCCACAGGATGCAGACCATTTGTGCATCATTTTCATCTACTCAGCAAATTCATTAAGATTTATTAGTGTTCCTGTGATAAAAACAAACAAACAATGGGTATGGTCATGAGCAGATCCAAAAGCAACGCGTCAAAAGCAGATTTTCTCAAAACCTCAGTGCAAGTTTGAAGAGTGATTCCTATTCAAAAGGCTTTCCAGCAGATCTGACTGGTATTTTACCTTTAAAAGAATTCTTTCCTAAACTAACATGAATTCTTGCCAACACATGAGACTCCTCTCCTTTAGTAAAAGGCAGCATATTGCCCAGGACAAGCCACAGATTAGGCTATTGAGTAAAGTAGGCACTGGTGATTAAACATAGTAGTTGCTTGTTCTTGGCTTTCRATAGTTGTCCACCTGCTCACGTGCAGAATTTTAGATGAGCCAAGCACACGTTCCCACCTTTATGTAAAATGTTGTACAAATCCTGTGTGAGGACAGAAGCACATATTTAAGTGGAGCAGTGAATGTRTACAGTGTAGCTGTAGAAGGTTTGTATGTGATTCTCAAGTGCTATTATACTTTAGATTGCTATTATGTGCAGGAGAGCAGAGAAAGGCAATTTCTCTACTTTAATCTGCATGCCCTTTCCAGTCAAGTGACCTCTGTCAAAATGCAAAGTGTCTATCTCTTAAGATGGTCTTGTGCTTTTATAGAAAATTGGAATGAATTACAATTCTTTTCCTTGCAAATAGAGCTGTCAACTTGAAAATGTAATACCTTGTTCATTTGGGTGGCCCTGCACATTTAGATATAAGCTGTTTAGCAATAACGTAGAAGAGTGATTGATGTTTGTTGATATTTAATACTGAAATMAGTGGAACATGCTAATTAAAAAAAGAGATTTAGAGCAGCCAGATAGAGCAAGGGCAAGTAATATATCTCATTTTGTTGCAAGTTGTATTTCTAACAGTCTTGCTGTGGCAGAAAACACAAAGAAGTTTCTTGGAAGGAGCTAGTGAGCAGGGGAAAACTATATGCTTTTTTTTTTAATCTTACATTAACATAGTTCTAGAAAGGGTGCAAGAAAAAAATATAAGTCAGTATGCAAGCAGTGAGGCTAAGGGGGCAGCCTCACTACAGGAGACGGCAGTGTCAGTCTGCGCTTGTTCCTTGCTGAGAAGCTAAGTACTTAGTAAAAGCTTTTGCTAGAAAGGAACATGGAATGTTTATCTCTCTCCTCCAAGGGATGAGTCCTGCCCCGTTTTTTTTTTTTTCCTCTTCTTCGAAGATCATAGGATCACAGAATGGTTAAGGTTGGAAGAGCCCTCTAGAGATCATCTAGTCCAATCTCCCAGCTCCAGCAGGRACACCTAGAGCATCCAGGCAGGTTTGGAAGACCTCCAGAGAAGGAGACTCCACAGCCTCCCTGGGCAGCCTGTGCCAGGGCTCTGRCACCCTCACAGGAAAGAAACCCGTCCTCACAGGGAGATGGATCTTACTCTCTTTCAATTTATATGCATTGCCCCTTATACCCTTATATTGCAACTTATACCCATTGCCAGAAGATAAGACTCTTCTGCTGGTCTTCAAATACATAGATATCATCGAGGGCAGTACTTAGAATCAGAAGCTTCAAGCCTTTCAACCACATCTGTCCTGAGATACAGATGTAAGAAGCAACAACTSGCTATAACTGTACTCACCACTGCAGTAACTTCCCATTAGATATCAAGAAAAAGAGTCATGTGAAGAGTTTTGCTGAGTTTTGAATGCTCATGATAATCTTAGAATGGACTGCAGCCACATTATTAGAGTAATTCACATAACACGCTTCACCAAACAAGGCTGATGGGGGTGGCAGAGTTAACACATTGGGAGGCCAGATATGAGAGGAGGCAGAAGTTACATTCTTTTTTTGTTAGATGAATCTTATTAAAAGCAAAGGGGACATTTGAAAACCCCTCTTTGAGGACAGTTTCAAACAAGAAAGATGCCCATGAGTGCAAGGGTTGCTATATGCTGAGTAGCTTTGAAAACTRGTCCACGTATTAAGATGGTTAAACCTATATCTAGGAGCCTAACTTTAGCAGAAAACATTGAAAATCTCAGCTTGCGTTTCTTTTCAAAGAGATCACATGTTTCTGGAGAACTCKCAAAATTCCCACTTTCCAAATGCCTGGTTGCTCCATCAGCCATCCGGCTGGGAGCAGGTGAACAATTCCCCTGCACCCTGCACCCTAATGCTGGTCAAGACCAGGTTGCTGCTGGAGGATCTTGCCTCTAGGAGGAAATGAAGGCTCTTTCTTTGAAGTGTCCTCATGTCCTGTGGACCTASAGGAACTGCAGGTGATCTAGAGGGTCCAGAACTGGGGTCCTCTGGAGGAGCAAACCCCAGCACCAGTCCTTGGCATTGCCTTCTTGGGCAACCAGAGGGAGTGTTGTCATTAGCAAGCTAGAAGCTGAGGTTGTCCCTAGCGTAGGTCATCATATTTGTCCCYTTCCTTGTCTCTGCATCTTTTGCTTGATGAGCTGTCATCTCTTGCACTGCAAGTTTAGTCTCACACGGTCTCTTGTCTCATTCACAACAGCTTTTATCCCACAGGAAATGTGTTTGTGAAGCTACTGAATTTTGGAGACAGCCAGGAAGAAAGTGAATGCAGAGGGGACTGTTGTGGAGGTGACACTTCCACTTTTCTACCTAACAATAAATCATTGTCTCACTGTTTTTAAGACAGGGTCTTCCTTTATTGCTGGTCTTCGGGATTCTTTCTGCATTCCCTTATCTCCTTCYTCCCTATTTTAAAGGGACGAAGCTATTTTTGTTGCTTAGCTTATACCAATTTGCACTCAGATTTACTATTCAGCTATATACTGGAAAAGTTAAATATCCACTCTCTCCATACAGAGACAGATATTTATTTTATCTAAAGAATTTATATAATACCAACAGTCTGCCTTGGTGCAGCCAAAGAGGCTTAAAAAATTACTAGCAATCCCTTTTTTCCACCTCAGAGCCCACATCCTAAACACTGAACAAATCCCATCAGTGTTTGGGGCACATAACATCATTGTCATCAAATCAATGGTGAAATTACGTGCTGTTAATCCTTGGCATTCATTCAAACAAGCTCAGCAAGTTTTAGCAGCACAATGCATTTTATGTTTTCATCAATGGATTTACATAGTGAATGAGGGAYGCTCTCTCCTTCCCAGTCTGCAGCAGCACTAGAGAGAGAGATGAAGGAAATTTGTGGCACAGAGAACAGGAGCACTGGGAAAAAAGAAGGAAGCAGGTCTGGAAACTTACAGCTGCTAAGTAATGGTACTTCTCCCCATCTGTAGATATCAAAGGACCTTAAAAAGCAGGTAAGTGCCATCATGGTAATGGGGAAGAATATGTAAAATGACTTCTCAGTGATCACAGAGAAAAGCAGAGGTACAATTTGAGCCCTCTTTACTCCCCTATTTTTTCTATGAACTAAACTTTGCAACTCCTTTGCAACTCCACAGAGCTTGCTGCTGCGCGTTCCTCTGCCTCGCAACCAAGTCTCATCTCTGTGAGCACTCCATGGCCCCTGTCCCTGCAGTGCAAGATATGCCTTTTGCTTTGGAAATTATGCTCGTGCTTTTCAGACCAGATAACTTAGGAGTGCAGGATTGTTGTGTCATGTGGTATTTACTGACCTAGATCAACGAATTAAGCTAAGTGATATAATCGTTSAAGTAATTAAAATGTTGACCTTTCTTTTTTTTTTACAGGAAAGGAGAAATGATGTCTACTTTGGCATGAATCTCAATATTTTTAAAAAAATCATTAAAAATAATAAAAAATAATAACAATAATATGCCATCATAGAAAGCTCATTTWAAAATGAACAAACAAAAACCCTCACAACAAAGCTCTGATTATTTTAATTGATTTTTTTTCCTTTCAGTGGTTTGGGCAGTTTGTACCAAATCTATAGCAGAGCACTCCTGCAGATCTTTTCCAGAAGGAGAGTATCCTCCTTCCGCACTGTGAGCTGCAGGGAAGCCATAGGGGCACGGAGGGAGGAGCTGGGAYAGGGCAGAGCACGCATTGCCACGGATATTCACTCGACAAAGAGGCAGTGTGAAAGGCCCATGACGTGGGTGGACTAGTTATCTGGGGTGGAGGGAAAAGGGATCACAGGAAGGGTTACCCAGGACGGACAGTGCATTGGTCTGCTGGTACAGGGAAAGAGGAAGATGGAAAAGTGGTGCAGATGTCACGGGGAGAGAAGAAAAGAACCAGAGGTGGGGCTGAAGGGGTCTGCAGTGGCTTGGAGGAGAGCTCCAGGTAAGAAGATTGGAAAGCTCCATAACAAGGAAGAAGAGCAGTCCAAACAGCAGTGACTAYGTAGAAGGCATTCTGCAAATGATGCAGCCGCTTGGCAATTTTGCAGTGAACCCCCTAGTCCTTGTTTGAGTCTGCTTGTCTCTGTATGACCAGGGCTTGGCAGGAAAATGCTAGGCATAAAGGTAAGGGTATATATTATTGAATGTGTCGCTAAATCACCCAGGAAAGCTCAATAAATTGCCTAGGTGCAGGTGATGCTGCTACTAACTACTCAAGGACAACTCTGAGAGAAGTTGTCTTGTGTCCAGGTATAAAACTGGTGCTGGAACATGGGGTTTTTTTTTGTACTAAAGTGATCACGGAGATTGGTGAACAGGGCAGGAATGTAACACCAGATACAAAACAGACACTGATGAAGGAGGGTCTGGCAGACAAGTTATACTAATGATTCAAGTTAGGAAGAGAGACACAGAGAGACTTTTTGGTCTACAGAGACAAAAGCATACATGATTCTCCACCAGCTATTTTGTATATGCAGCCTATCTGTATAGTGAGGGTACTTAATGTCAAACGGCATGCTGCAGTCAGGCACCTCCTGCACAACAAAATTGCATCCAGATTCTCCTTCAAGGGAGCACATTCTTTAACAGGGAACTGTCAAGCTCTTCACTGAGGGGAGTAATTTCTTTTTTTCTAACCTTTATCAGGTCCAGAAGGAGCTGTRCACCACTGCAGGACCTGCAAATCTCTTGACATTGAGGAGAAATACAAGAGAAATACAGCTTTCACGYGGCTTAGTTCCCACATCCCTCCAGCCAGAAGAAACCCACCATGTCTATCATCTAGTCTACCGGACAGCATAAAACCTCGTTCTTGATGGGCTAACAATCCCCATTTCCTTAAACCTGGACACCAAACGAGTCTGTTACAGTGGCCACAGTCTGGTAACGCGCAGAATTTATTTTCACAGTAGCCCAGCCACCAGCACCGCAGAAAAACACCGCTTGGCAGAGAAACCCTTAATGCACCGGGTGCCTGGGCTGCTCCGAGATCCCCTCGCTGCGCTGGTGCGCGCTCATATGCGGGTGAGCACCAGGGCGAGGGCAGCGGGGGCAGCAGCAATGGGATCAGCAACRGGGTGAGCAGCAAGGGGATCAACGCCACGGCGAGGCGCGGAGGCTGCGGCCGCGTGCGTCACGGCGCCCACGCGGCAGCTCCCCGCGTTACGCACGGAGCCGTTGCGGCTGCTCGGCATGCCTGGGGCACGGAGAGCAGCCGGCGCGAGCCAGCAAGCCCCTTGACGTTCCTCATGATCTCGCGAGGTAAATGGAGCGCGCAGGCCGGCGACTGGGGCACGCTGCTGGGGAGAAGGCTGCAGACTAAGGGATAATCCAGCCGAGGAGCATCACGTTTCCCAAACTCTTACCCTCATAGGGCAGTGTCGCGCTCAGGGACAGCAGGCAGGGGCAGGCTTCAGCCAGCTGGCGCAACACAAAATGACCAGAGCTCTGCAGTGTGCAAATGATGCTATCATTAAGACTGCTGCAGCATTTCCAGTCTAAAACAACCCCTCTTTTCCCTTTTTCTTTTTTCTTTTTTTCTTTTTCCCTTTTTCTTTTTTCTTTTTTTCTGGACACTGTGCAAAAGGTCATAATTGGCAGGAACCAAATACAGTGAAGGAAAAGAAACAGAAAAAAAAATAAAAGTCACTACAGCTCCAGAGTAAAGGAAATAAATGCATTTTCCCTTTTTATAACAAGGAGGAGAGGTGAAGCAGAGGGGAGAGGTAGCTCTGGGTGTAAAAATCATTASAGTAACGATTTTTAAATGCAAAGCCCCAGACCTGAATTCACAGCATGCAAACCCACAAGACCCGGCATAATATTTTTCATTTTATGAGAAATAACAATGAGCTGGATCACAGAGGAGCTTTTTAGTTGTCCAGTGGTGATACTTGCAGTAATGAAGATTTAATTAATGTACTTGATGAGCGGCCATGGCTACAGGAGAACTGTTCTGCACACTTTTGATGGCATATCAGATCAGCAAATAAAACTTTGCACTAAATAACATAATCTTGCCCAAATTTTTGGTACTCTTTCCCCAACTACAGCATCACAAGAATGCTCCGAGCTGCACTCTTGTGCTACCTGAGAAGCCATCCTCTCCCAGTGCTATATTTTGCCACCTACTGAATGCATCCAACCTTCTTTCTCATGCCCAAGTCTCATGCAGTTCTGCCCYATCCATTCCTGAGTGTCATTCACTGGGGTCTCTCTGAATATTTCTGCATTGAGTGATTAAAATCTTCTGCCAACACTGTTCACTCTTTCTCCCTGCCTGAGTTGCACAATGATCCCATTTCAAAGTACCCCAAAAGATGTCGCTTCAAAGGAGCTTGCTGCCTTCACAACACTCCGCTAGCAATCAGGTCATCCTATGAAGGACATAAAGATTGGGCTCTTTGCATGGTCCTGTTGTAACCATCCACTCTCCTACTGTCCCAGCMTACGCTGGAAGCTTGCTCCTGCCTTGGGATTACAGGCACAATCACATTGACTATAGCACTGGATCTGCTTACTGCACTCCCCACAGAAAGGGAATAAAGAAAGTGGTCCACAKAGAGGGAAGAGGCACTTCCTAATGGAAAAGGCATTCCCAAGGGCCCCATGACCCAATCTGGGCACTCAGAAACCTTTCCTCTGCYCCGCGCTTGCCAACGCCAGCCCTCATGCCAATCCCTAGGCACTCTGTCCCTCCTCTCATCCTATCTGTTCCTAGAACTTGGGGTTTTATGTTTTTTCTTTCTGTCTATACTTGCAGATGTACACACTGCCATAGCTATTCCACTTCATTTCAGCCTCTTGTTATGATTCAGAGGGCTGGGGTATCGTGTCTTGCAAGGACCCAGGTTATTCAAAGAAACACAGAACCAGCAAAGAGAASTCTTGCTGTAATCAACAGCACGAAGGAGATTGGCACGTATCTTTGAGAAATTGAGGACAGCCTTACTGGGTTAACTTACTGGATTAGCTTACTGGGCTAACTGGTGGTTCACGGTTTTYTTCCCCTTCGGAGGATTCCCATGGTCTGAGAACTTCACATAAATAAAATTTCAGCCATTCTACTGCTACCRAGTAAATTTCTTCATACACAATAGCAGAAGCATTACCCTGAAAAAAAATGACCTCTGTGAATGTTATTGCAAGGATTTTGACATGGCTGCTCCACAGCTTACATAGCACAGTTGGCAAGTGATTTGTTATCTCCATAAACTGTAGTGCAGGCAATTTTTCCAATGTGTTCACAGTGTATCAGAAGCAATGTGCAGTCTTTGGTTGAAATCACAATATGCTCTGTGTCCATTTAGCATCTATTCCCATAGGACATCACACTGTAGAGTCGGCCTTTCCTTTACAAAGCACTCAGGCAAAACATGCTCTAGGGGCTGAAAATTTCCCCAGCTCTGGAGGGAGATCAGTGGGGTATTTGTCACAGCTTTCAGACACAAAGACTTCTTTGAACCTCTGCAAAACACCAGCATCCAAACTGGCCACAACATGACCTAACTTAGCCTGTTGGGAATCTCATCATTCCCATCAATTTACTATCAACATTATTCTCTATCTAATAAGGACACAGATGCTCATTTTCAAATGATATCAGCTTCCATTTTCACCTTTAAACCAAAGCCTAATTATCAAAGTTCTCCTCTTCCAGACGATTCTAGCTCAAGATCACTAGATTTCCCTAAGCAATCTCAAGACCCTCTGCCATATTCTTTTAATATGTGGTACAGACAGGCAAAGATAGGGAAACATCAGCAGCAGCAATATGAGAAGAAGTGCAAAGGAAAGGGCTGAGATTCTACAGGTTTGCTTGTTTGCACACTTCTGCCTTTGCAAAAATGGGGCAGAGATGGAASATTCTTGCCAGCTCTGTTGTGAGACGGACTTCTACAGGCCATGGGCAAGCAGTGAGCTCTAGGGCAATGTCCCAGACACCGCACGCTGGAAGACTTGGCACTTCACCATCCTCTAATGAAAGCCTTATTTGCAAGTCTGTTCTACCTCTACTCACGGATATATGTCAGAGATGGCAATCTATGCTCCACTAGTCACAGACAGAGGGTGGGGAACCACCAAGAAAGATGGACTGAGCAGAAGTCTCTTTTTAAATTGCCTGGTCCTTTCATTGCCTTGTATGAATGCTCAAGACTAGCCCCACAAATTCAAACCATCAAAGAAGAATGACAACTGTATGAGTTAACAATGCAGCTATTTATCAGAATGTATAAATCAATAGTGGCTTTTGATAAGCCTATATCAAGACACCTGCTCAGAAAAACAAGCAATGGCAACAGGACTTTTCTACAGCTGCTTCTTTAAAATACTTCTAGTCTACAAACACAGTCCAGCAGAATTCCCATGAGACATTCCAGTGAAGACAACTGCTTAGGAAAGCATTTTATGTGGGGAAAAAATCAAATATGTTCTTTTGTAGACATTGGCATACTGATTAAAGTACTATACATTTGCCTTAGGGTGCTCATTGTAACTGCTGGTTTGTTGAGAGAGACAAAAACAAAAGACAGACACAGCATGTGTGAAAAAGTGCACAAAAATGCTTGGATAGGTATCTGCTGCTGCTCAGCCATTCCAAAGAATAAACATGGTCTGTTTTAATTCACACTTTTTACAAAGTACAACAGCAATTCTCCTTTGTCTCATAGGGATGCTCCCCCCACTCCACCCCGCCCTTCACTTCAAGGTGACAAACACCCTATTTCCATACTGCAAACAAGACATTCTTCATAAGAACCYTTTTTGTACTCTTCTTTCAAAAATGCTAGCAAGAAAGCACCATTCTTGGGCCAGTTATTCAGTCATTTTCTATAGCTGAATGGTCCTGTGTCAGTTCACGTTAGTCACCCACTTTGAAGCTCCGGTGATAAGCTCTTCCCTGGAGCTTTATCAGGTTCACGAACATGTGTCACATACACCCAAGGATTCAGACAGAGACTGGATGCCCTTTGATGCAGGCTCCACCCCGTCTGAGTGCTGCTTTACGTAYGAGAAGAAATTTTATCTTGCTTTGTTAAAGGGAGAATAGGAGCATGTTTCTGGCCTCTTTCAATGGTAGACGAGACCTGGAAAACCACTGGGACCTGGAAAATCACCCCACTGGGACTGAAACACTATCACTGTCAAGTTTCCTACACCCTGTGATGTGCTGAYGGCCCAGCCTCGCGGTCCCTCAGGGACTAAGTGGGAGGATTTCTCCAGCCTTGGAGCTGGGATGGAGCGCSGAGCTGACAGCTGAGGCGAGGGACCTCCTGGGTCCCTTTGCAGCTGCCAGCCCCACGCCGTCAGCTGCCCAGGCTCCTCTGCTGAATCCACAGGGAGGCTTTTAGCAGCTGAAACCCAACAAGAGGCAATATGGGCTCCTGAGCTGAAACCAGAAGCTCACGTCTGAATGTAATGAGTGCTGGGGGCTGCAGGCAGGCTGTTCCAGGTGACAGCAGATGGAATCATAAAGACCCTTTCATCAGCATCTGTGAAGGGACAGGAAAGCCTTTTTCATTTAGGGTCAGCTAACTGCCTTAATAGGCACTTACTGAGTGCCTCCTATCGGGAATCCCCTTCAGGTTCTCAAGCCCTGAGCTAAATTTAAGCTAGAGCTACACTGTCCAACCAGGCCTCAGTTTCCCTTTTAAAGATATTGTCACCTTCCAGCTCTCTATCTGATACCAACATGGCAGATACTAACGTTCTTGCTGTGGTTGCTTTACACAAATTTTAATCTTTGAGCAAGATAATTGTCTGGTAGTACCCTAGT